GTGTCCCGGGCTCCCCACCCCTTGGCCGCCCTGACAGTACTCCCCCGGACCCGGCGCCCAGGCGGAAGCGGGACGGGGTTCTCCCTCGGGCCCCTGCAGTGTGACTCCTGTGGCCGCGGGGACGTGACTTTTTCCTTGAAAAACAGAAGGAAAGTTCAGCTGCGAGGGGGCGCGGGGCATGTTCGCCCCCTTTGTGCGAGCAAGAAAGGCGTTGCGTTGGCCGAGATCGAGGCGAGCCCTCACCCCCGGAAAGGGAAGTTTGAGAAGTTGATTATCCGAAGGAGGACGGGGAGCCGCAGCCCTGAGCGGCAGCCCAAGCAGACTTTCACCTGGGGCCGCCGCTGCCCTTCCAGAATCACCTGGTCCAGTGTCCCAGTCCTTAGCTACTAAAATGACCCCGCTCTCCCCAGGCTGGCTTCCCGAAGCTATTCCACACAAATTGCAAGAAAAGAAGTGATTTCCAAAGGAAAGTGGGCAGGGTTGGCCTACGGGCTGGGCAGCGGTGCGGGGGTCATCGGTCAGGTAGAAGACCGAGGTCCTTTACCTTGCGCCAGGTAGGGTAGATACTAGGCCCAGGAGATGCTGCCAGCTCCCACCCAGTCCTGCCCTCAGGGAGTTGATGTTTCTCCCCAACTCCCACTGATGAGAACTGAATGGCAGCTGCGTACATCATCTGCCTCCTGATCACTGTCTCGGATTTTAATGGGGGAAAAAGTAGAAATTGGGTTCTTAACTACTTACGGGAAGGGCGGAACCCCGAGACCTCCCAAGTTGAAAAGTTCGCAGCTGTGGGCCACACTACTGATTATCCGCAGCTATGGCCTCAGGCTGGGCATTTGGACAAGTTGGGTAGCTTGTCTGAGCCCAAGTTTCCTCATCTGTAAAATAGCATGCTTCGAATTGGACTCTATTACATCTTCTAAATATTTAACATTTCACACCATGCTTGTGGGGTTGGGGCTTTGGCTATGCGCGGTGTAGATTTTGAATGAAGTGCAGAGGATTTGACATTCCACATCACACTGACGCACATGGGGTTCAGGTGGATTTACCTTTGGGTTTATCTAGAAGAAATATGTATGGGAGCTAAGTGGTAAATTTTGGATTATTTGAAGGAGACTGAAAACTGTTTAAAACTCTCGATTGTACTGAAAGTGGCATGGAGATGGAATTTTTAATGGAATGAGGAAGAGGCACTGTTGCAAGCAAAAAAATCCTCACACAAATTCGAGTTCTCCAATTTAATAAAATCTCAGTGTTTTCTTCTTAGCTTTTTTCTTACATTGCAATACTAGAATGTTCAACTGTCTCTAATTATACTCCAGACTCTTAAAAACTGACTTATATTTTGCAAATAAATATTAAACTTGGCACCCTTAATTTTCTGTGTACATAAAACTTTTGTTTCAGATCATTAAAGGAAGAAATTAGCAGGCCTTGATTTGGTTAAGTTTTGTTTACAAGGGTAAGACTTATGATTTGCAAATTCCAGACTCAATAGTTCATGAGCCAGTTTCGTTTCATCTCTATATACACTTTTAAACAATTAGTTTAAAAGCCTAGTGGTTTTTATTAGAAAACTAACAGATTTCATATTTTTATGAGGAATTGAAGTTTTAAAATAAATAAATGAATAGTTTCAGGCTTTTCCTAACATAATTGGTGAACTGAATATTGTTCAAAATACCTTGGTGTAAGATAATATACGAGGAAATGAGATTGTTTACAACTTCCTATTTGGTTATTAAAAAAAAAAAAACCTCAGGTTGGTAGCTTTACAAGCAAATGAAGGATTTCAGTTTAAGAACAGATTTGGATAAGAAATATATTCTAAACTTATTCCTCATTTATTTATTTATTTTATTTGGTATAGTCAGTCATCCCAAATTCTCAAAAATAAGAAATGACTTTGCAAAATGTTTGGTCTGAATAGTTCAGATGTGAAAAATATGGCTTTTACTTTTCAGACACCTAAAAAGATGTTCTTGTTTCTCCAAGGACCCAAACACCATTGCCAAAAACAACCACAGGAAGAAAAAAAAAAAAAAAAAAA